CGCGCACCGCCGTGTTGTACGCGAGCTGGTCCGACGGCTGGTACATGCCCTTGAGCTCCGCGAGCACCGCCGTGCCGCGGTCGTGCGTCCGTATCACGCCCAGCGGCTCGCTGCCGCCGATGATGCTGAACAGGTTGATGGCGAGGTGCATCTCCTGCATCTCGGAGAGGACCGCGTCTGGCGTCCAGCCCGACGCGCGCATGAAGAGGCGCACGATTCGCGCCCACGGCCCGTAGTTCGCGCGGCCGACCAGGAAGGACGCCTTGGGCAGCTTGAACTCGATCCAGGCGATGGGGCGCGGGGGGGGCTTGTCGCGCTCGGCCACGGGGAGCTGAGGGATGCCCTCGACGGCGCCGGGCCGGGCCCGCTCAGGGCGTGGTGAGATGAGCATCGTATCGTGGCTCGACTCGTAAATCGGCTGGACTGTCTGCTTGGCCTAAGTGACCTCGGCCGCGAGACTCGTTGCGGTTATGTGTTGTCTCCGGCTCCGGTCCGTGCGGAGAAAAAGAAAAAGGAGTCTGCCTTGTTCACATGCAGCGCAGCTTCTAGGACTAGAGTAGAGTCGTGAACCCGGCGCTACGCCGGCTATACAACGAACAAGGTTTCTCTCTAAACTCTCGTCTCCAAGCCCACCATGTCCACCCGGACATCCCCTCCTTAATCCCTGTGCTGGGATAGCCACGGACACCCGATACAAGTAAGCGCTGTTGCGCGGACCTCCAAGCAAGGCGTCTACACTTGATAGGAGAACCTCACCCAATCCAAAACGTCACCACCCCAGCCCCGTCCCCGGGCCACTTACTACCACCACCATCCCCCTTGGCGCCACCATCCTCGCCCTCCACAGCCCCCATCAGGCCCGGAACATACGCCTCGCCTACAAACACCCAGCGGTCCTTCTTAGCTTCGGCAGTAACAGGACGCAGCACGTAAGGCGTCTCGCCGCCGGCCAGCAGCACCAGCGCGTCGCCGGGCCGGGCGGTCGGCGGTGCCATGGCGAAGTAGCAGCCGCCGGGTTTTCCTTCTGCTCTGTCGTTGGTGGTGGCGGTGCTGCTGGTGTTGTCGTTTTTGGACTGTGTCACGGCGAAGCAGCGGTGCACGGCGTGGTCTTCGGCAGCTTGCAGCCAGGCCGTGGGGTTCGGGGGCGGTGGTTTCGATCTGTTGTTATTATTGGCGTTACTGCTGGAATTGTTGTTACTGGTGCTGTCAGGGGTTGCTGTAGATGCGGCCAGGGTTAACAGCTTGCGCGGATCGTGCTTGCTGCTGTAGCTCGACGAGCTGGGGAACAGCTTGTGCAGCGCGGCGAGGCCCGAGTGGTATGCTGCCGTATTGTTGTTGTTGGTGGTTGAGTCCGCAGGAGGCGGTTTCGGGATTTTGGGCATCAGTCGCGGGGTGGCCGCCGGCGGGGGAGCAGCCGGCGAGGACAGCTCGGCGACGAGCGCTGCGGGCGCGAGCGTGTCGAGAAAGGCCCGCAGAAGCGGCACCGAGGCGTCGCCGCGGTACGCGCCCTGCGTGGTGAACTTGGCCGCGTCGCTCTTGGACGACGACGACGACGACGACAGCGACGCCTGGCTTCCCCTCGCGGTTTCAGCTCTGGAGGACGACGGCTGGCCCGAGGGGGGAGCGGCCGTGCTCAGCCGGGCGAGGCGCCAGGCGGCCTGGACGAGGTCCTTCTTTGACGAGTCTGACACAAAACAGTGCGAGGTGAACTTGGGCGTGACCTTGGCGATGGTGTCGACGACGATGCCCTTGACCACCAGCGTCTTGTACCCGTCCTCGAACGAGCCGCTCGTGATGCCGGACCGCGACGAGCCCGCCGCCCGGTAGCGGCCCGGGTGGCCGACGAGGCTGTGGAAGCGGCCGGCGTCCCACCGCGGCACCCACGTCGGCAGCAGCGGGTCGGGCCCGGGCAGCGGCGGCCGCGCGTCGCCGCTGTCCGAGACGGCGTTGAGCAGCATCAGCGTGCTGTCGTTGCTGAGGGCGCGGATGGCGATCTCGTGGTAGATGGTCGAGATGGCGTTGTCGTAGTCGGGCTGGATGATGATGGCCTGCTCCGCCTCGACCCACGCCGAGTGGTGGCCCAGCTGCGAGTAGACGTAGTCTCGCGGGTCCGTCGCCAGCGTCCGCGCGCTCAGGCACAGCTGGTACACGAAGCTTCGATGCGCCCGGTTCTCCGCCTTGGGCCGCGGCTTGTCGACGAAGCGGTGGAACAGCAGCGTGGCCGAGCTAGTGTCGATCTTGTACTTCTTCTTGAGCTCCCAGCCCTGGGCCTCGAGCTTCTTCATCGAGCCGTGCAGCGCCTCCCACCCAATGTTCTCAGAGCCCCAGTGCACGACAGCCTCTGCATCGGTGCCTATCTCTTGGGGAATCCATGCTCTGCGGAACCACGGGAGCCTGCTGAGCTCGCGCAGAGACTTCCAGTACTCGGTAGGGATCCAATCGAGGCCGGCCCCTTTTGACTTGCACAGGCTGGCCAAGAGCTTGTCATCGAAGATGGAGCGCAGAGCTCCGACGAGCTGGAAGGCCCGCGATGCGTGGCCGTCGGCGTCGGGGCCGAGCCACACGAGGATCTGGCTGGCGGCGCGGAAGATGGCGTGCATCAGGCGGACCTGCTTGTTGCGCTCGACCGTGTCCCGCTGGTTGATGCAGATCTGGTCGATCCAGATGCGCAGCGCCGGCCGGCCCGTCGGCGGGCGCAGCCGCCTCAGCGCCGCGCCCAGGCTCTCGGTGATGGCCAGCTTCTTGCCGTCGATGAGTATGGCGTCCGTGAGCCGGGGCTCGCCCCACACGTATGACAGCGCCTTGTAGTCGCCGCTGTTGCCGATCCAGAGCGGTTCGAGGCGGCCGGCCAGCTTGTCGTCGCCTCCGCCGGGCTTTAGTACCAGTACGCGCGTGCCCGTCCCGTACGAGTCGTGGATCTGCTGGTAGCTGTAGAATGTAGAAAGCACGGCCGATTCGATCTTTTTCTCTCGCGCGAGCTGTTCGGTCTCTCTGACTAGTCTTTCTTCCTCCTCCCTCTCCCTGTCGTCTTGTTCTCTGGCGAGGTTGTGCAGAAACTGCCTCCCCGGAGAGAAGGAAATATTGCTCAGGTTGTTGTGTGCCATCTCGGACCTCTGCCTTTTACTATGCTATCCCCAATGAGATCTTTGGAAGACTTGTCGGTGAAGACTTGCGGGGTAGATTCGCCAGTTGATTGAGGCTGAGTCTTTCGCAACCCCACGCAGCCCCCGAGTTCGGACGAGCCATGGGCACATGCATGTCGGCTGCAGTAGACTTTGGCCGCTGTAGCAATAAGAGGCTCGAGTAACTACAGGACCGAATTGATTTATCATCACAGGAACGTGTTTGATATCAGAAACGAAACGCAAGAAATATAAAACAAAATAATGAAGTGTAATTATTGGTCGAGAAGGTGAGCTTGGGATCAGCTGTTCCGCCACTGCAAGCTACTGCTGTCGTGGTTGCATAGTAACTGGGGTCATCTCAAGGACTAGGCCCCTTGGGCCTCAGCTCGCTGGCTAGGCCGCAGATAGCCTTTTGTTCATCCGGCGTGATAACAACTTTAAAATACTGGTCGAGCGCCCTGACGCGCTGCTCCTCGGTCTCGAGGGTCTCAATGGTCTCGACGGCGCCGACGCGCGTCTTGACGTAGTCCTTGTGCAGGATCACGACGCCGTGGGCCGTCTGCGCGCGCTCGTCGAGCAGCGTGCGCATGCACAGCACCGTCTGCACAAAGTAGCTCTGCGGCGCGGTCATGGTGTGCAGGTTCATGACCTCGAAGTCGGCCGGCAGGAACTCCAGCTCGACAAAGGCGTACTGGTCCCGCCACGGCTCGCCCTCAGCGTCGTCCCGCGTCGAGTACACCCACACGCGCTGGTTTGGGTCTGTGTGCTCTTCCAGCGCCCGGTGCTGCAGCCGCCCGCGGACGGGGGCGATACCGACGAACTCGTGGCCGTCGACCAGGGGGACGGGGTGCGGCGGGCCGTTGGACCCGAAGCCGACGTCGACCAGATATCGCGTGTTGTTGATGGTGACGAGGTTGGCCATGTGGCTCCTGACCACGGAGCAGCGTATAGTTTAGTGCCTAATTATCTGCAGTCATGCATCTCCCGGAACTATATGCTGGGTAATTACATACCATCCCGTGTACTGGTCCGCCACTCTCACCCTCCCGCCGACGCTGATCAGAGTGAAGCCGAGACTGCGCAGGACGGTGGCGAAAAAGGTGTTGACCTCCATGCAGTAGCCGCCGCGGCTGTTGCCGACAATCTTGTCAAACAGGGCGGCCGGGTCGAGCGACAGCAGGCGATGGCGCGAGTAGTGCAGCGTCAGGCTCTCAAACGGGACGCGCGCGAGGTGAAGCCGCTGCAGCGTCGTGAGCACCTCCAGCGCGTCCTCGCCCGCGGCCTGCCTGGCGCTTCTGCCTTGGTATCCAATGTGGGCGAAATAGCGCGCGAGCTGCTCGTCCGAGTAGGTGGCCATGGTGGATGGGCCAGACGCTGAACTTGCGAAGTTGTGGCGATAAATGACTCACTCGTTGCGGTCGTTGTTGTTTCGTGGAAATTTTGAGCTTGCACGATCCCCACAGACGACTTAAGTACAGCTGAGTATGGCTTGGCGCTCGTCGGTGTTTGTCTGAAAACGGAACGCCAAAGAAAGCGGAAATAAATTACTAGATTTCTTCAAGGCAAAGCCGATATGTTATCGAATTTGAACAGCCCTAATTCGAACTAACTAGTTTGTCACCGCCGGGGTTGCCTGATATGGCTCACTTATAGGTGCCAAGTGCTCGTATTGCCACTAACTTACTAATAAGAACTTATTTAAATAAGTGAATGTAAATATTATCGAACAAGACATTCGTTTCACTAGTGACATTTCCCTAAATTCGACTTAATTAGAAACGAGTTACAGAACAAAGCGTGTAAAATCCCGAAAGACTGTGGTGGGGGGATATAGTTGAGCGTCACAAGTATCACCCTCAACCAATCAAAGCACTCGGTTCTATGGTGTAGCGGTCAGCACTTCGGATTCTGATTCAAACATCCATTCCGGCGACCCCGGTTCGATTCCGGGTAGGACCTAATCTTTTTGTCTTTTTGCCCACTCGAGCCTAAATGAGAGAAGTTCTATTATGAGCTTTCTACTTTCAATCTGCGATCCATTTTTTTTTTTGCAAGTGTTTTCGGACGGAAATCGTTGCTTTCCAAATGAGCAGCAACTGCAGGCGTCGGTAGCAGCCTTCAGTCTGACTGTTCACCCCGCTGTGGCTGCTGCCTGGCCGATCTGTCATTTTGGACGAACACAAAATGCACAGTACACGTATCACATACATACCGGCGTACGACAGTCCGGGCTAAGCCCCAAGGCTGCCTTGGCTAGTTCAACAGAGGCGCATTTTCTGTCGTGTCGTGTGGGTGCCGAGTCTTGCTTCTTTTCATCTGAGGACTCCACCCAAAGTCACGCTAGCGCGCAGAACTTAGATTTCCCGAGACAGCAGCCAACTCAGTATAACGAGTCGCACCTTCTTCGTCTTTGCACTTGGATGAGCACGAATCTCTCACCTTTCACTGGGTATTCTACGCCATGGAGTCGGCCGGCCTCCGACACTCGTCGCAGGAGCCGGAGAAACCTGTCAAACCAGCTCCCGAGACGCGCGAACCAAATACAGCAACAAACACCTCTTTACCAAACCAACTAAACAACAACAACAATAATAACTGCGATGCCAACGCTCGCGACGCCGCCCCGACCCCGGCCCCGGCCAAACAAAAAAAGACCACCAGCACCACCGCGCCCCCAAAAGCGCAGCCCATCTGGGAGACAGCCGGCCGCACGCCGCCGCGTTTCACCGTCGACCTCTCCGTCGCGCCGGAGCACCGGTACGACCACATCGCCGCGCAACTGATGCCCGCGATCCGCGCGACGGACCTCGAGGGCCTGTTCGGCGACCTGGTCGCGACGGCCGTGCCGGGGGGGTGGCGGGCGGGGCAGCGCGGGCTGCTGGCGCTGGCGCGCTTGACGCTGCGGCGCGTGTACGCCGACGACGAGACGGCTGAGCTGCGCGGCATTGCCTCCGCCACGGGCCTGCCGCTGTACTTGCTGGTCGCGTTCAATGTGCTGCTGGATCTGCTGCTCGGGTGTACGAGTGGCGGCGTGCGCATGGCGTACTGTGATGGGGACGCTGAGGGCGATGCAGGCAACAGCGCCGGTGCGGCCCGGGGGGCTAGAGCGGCGAGAAAGCCGGTGGCGGCGGCGGCAATCCCAAGCAAGTCGCGCATCGTGCACTTCCGCACGCTGGACTGGGACATGGACGAGCTGCGGCACCTGATCGTGGAGCTGGACTTTGTGCGAGCGGCGGGCGGGCCCGTGGTGGCGACGACGGTCGGGTACTTTGGGTACGTGGGCGCGCTGACGGGCGTGCGCCGCGGGCTGAGCCTGAGCCTCAACTTCCGGCCGACGCACGACCGCAGCACCTGGCGCAAGCGCGCCGCCTACCGCTGGCACCAGGCCATGGTGCTGCTCGGCCGCCGCCCCTCCATCTCGAGCACCCTGCGCCACTACCTGCTGAGCCCCGCGGCGCCGGGGACCGAGCCGCTGCTGCGGCGGAGGGACGGGCGCGCCGAGGACCCGACTGTTGCTGCTGTTGCTTCAGTTTCGCCGCTAGCTCTGGGGGGAGAGAAACTAGACACTCCAAATGCCGAACTTGAAAACTTGCACGAGCAGCAGGATCCGCACGACCTCAACATCGACAGCCTACTAGCCGAACTGACACTCTCGCCATCAACAGCAGCGTACCTGATCTTCAGCACAGCGCAGCGGACATACGCAGTGGAAAAAGACCATCTCGCCGCAGTTGTGCGGAGCGACGGCACGCTGCTGACGACGTGCAACCACGACGTGGATGACGAGTCCGCGCCTGAGCGGGTAGCCGCGGCCGCGGCTGCGGTCGCCGAGACGGGCATGATGAGCCTGGTCGAAGACTCGATGGACCGCAAGCACATGGTGCGCCGGGTGTGGTGGGGGGCGGTGCTGCGGCAGCGGAAGCAGCAGGCGAGGCGATCGGCGGTGCTGCGGCGGCATGCCCGCTCGTTTCTGCCCGATGGTAGTAAGACGAGTTCGCAACTCCGTGCACGGCAAGACCAGATGGAACAAGACCAGCAGCATGAGGTTGAGAAGCAGGAAGAAGAAAAAGAAAGACGAGTCCCGCCGCCCGCCGACGGCGTGCTGCTCGACGACGTGCTGAAGATGCTGGGCCACGAGTACATCACGCACGACCAGACGCACTACTCCGTTATCATGGATCCGCTGACGGGCCGCGTGCTGTGGCGGCGGGCGTATGATCTGGGCGAGCTGGGAAGCGATAATAGCGGCAGCGAGCGTGATGGTTGATCATGGTCATGGGGTCGGGACTGTGCGAGACGGCGTGGGTTGTTCACAAACGGGCGATATAAGCTACCTGCCATGTTGGCATAGAAGGTTGGCATTTTATCCTCACGTTTAAACCGGATATGCGTCGGGTTTTCTGCTTTCTTCAAGTTAAATAATCAAGCGTAATAGTTTCATCTCTAGGAATCCAGACCCTCCTGCATTGCTGTTGGTCGCGCCACATTTTCTCACTGGCGGTTGAAACTACGGTAAAGCACGGATATCAGATGATTTTCTCACCGACTTCAGTACAAACACCCCCTTTGCTCACGGCACCAGGTAACCAAAAAGCCCTCTATAACCCGGCAAATGGAAGAGATTTTTGAAATCTCAAGTCCAAAAAAACGCATTCACGCACTCACTCCACAGACCACATACCAACAAGTTCACAATACCCCATGTTTTGTCAGGATACAGGGTTACTTAGGTACAGCTACTGCGCAATCTGCGCGCAACTCACTTCTCGAGCCCGGCGGCTTTGGTGCGGACGACCATATCCTCGCGGCTCGGGCCCGTCCCAATCCACGCAATGGGCACGCCCACAAACGTCTCAATGAACTCGACATAGGCGCGCGCTTGCTTGGGCAGGTCATACTATTTCCAAAGTTGTTAGCATGAGCGGAAACATCCTCTGGCGAGCAGTAGGGGAAGCAACAATCTCCAGCTTGGACTCGGATAGCGCAGGGATATCGGCAAAACAGCGAGTAAGAACTTACGTAGCTCTTTGCGGCCGTGGTGGGCTTCTGCCAGCCCTCAAACTCCTTGTACACAACCTCCAGCTTCTCCAGCTGGCCGACATCGGCGGGGAAGTACTCGACCTCCTCTCCTGTTGCCGGGTCCTTGTACGCAACGGCGACCTTTGAAACCGCGACACTGGTTAGTCATCCACTTGTTTCCTCTGTAAAGCTAAGATGAAAGGAAGCAACACGCACCTTCAGGGTGGGGAAGGTGTCGAGCACGTCGAGCTTGGTCAGGTTGAGCGCCGTGTAGTGGTTGATGGCCGTGGAGTATTTCAAAACCACGAGGTCGAGCCAGCCGCATCTCCGCTTCCTGCCGGTGCTGACGCCCCATTCGCGGCCTGTGGTCATCCCATGTTAGCAGTCTGCCATGATGAACAGCACTATGTGCAAGAATGAGACAAGCCTACCGATTTCTTGTAGCTTCGTGCCGGCCTCTTCCGTGTCCTCGGTCTTGAAGATTCCCTCACCCACTCTGGTGGTCTGTTACACACTGTGAGTAAAGGGCACAAAACAGGGTGTACATTTGGAGTATACTGACATAGGCCTTCACCACTCCAATGACTTGCCTAAAATCCCGAGTCAGCAACCTTGTCTTGCCTGCAGCCTTGGGGTAACCTACTCAAGCTTTCTAGGGTTGATGGCAAGGCCGGTGAAGATGCCGCCCAGTCCAGTGTTACTGCTCGTAACATAGGGGTAGGTGCCTGCAAACGGATGTTAGCCAACCGCAACGCTCACGGCGGCACTCGAGAACGGCGCACCGTAGTCGATATCCAGCATCAGGGCATTGGCGCCCTCGATGAGGATCTTGTAGTTGCGGTCCTGGGCCTGCTTCATGTACTGCACGGCGTCGGTGCAGTAGGCCGCGAGCTTGGGGCGGTACTCCTTGAAGCGGGCAATCTCCTCCTCGACGTCGTACTTGAGCAGGTCGCCGAATCTCTTCTTGTACCCAGATGCAAGCTGGCGCAGCTTGCGCTCGAAGACCTCCTCGTCGAAGATTTCATGGACCCTGACACCGCTTCTCTTCAACATCCCGAGTCAGTTTAAAGCCGGGGAATGCGCGCTGTAGGGGGGACGGGGGCTTCGTACCGCTGCCTTGGTGCTGTAGCTCGGGCCAATACCTCTACACGCGCGTATTAGTTTTCTGCTTCCCATCCCGTGTAGCTAGACAAACACCAACCTTCCCGTGGTGCCAATCTTGCGCGAGCCCAGCTCGACCTCCTCTAGCCCGTCCACGGCGGCATGGAGGTCAAAGTTGACCTGGCACCGGTCCGAGACGAGGATGCGGTTGTGCACGTCTGTCAGGCCCTTGGCCTCCAACTCGGCAAGCTCCTTGAAGAAGCTGGGGACGTGGAAAACGACTCCAGAGCCGATCAGGTTCATGCAGTTGGGGTTGATGAGGCCGGAAGGGAGGAGGTGGAAGCTGTACGAGACGCCATTCGCAACTGTTCAGCATAGCGCATCGTCTGTTAGTAAACGGGCTGTGCGCGCGCCCCGCGGAGCGTGAGAGGGAGAGAGACGGGCAGAAAACGGGCAGCTTCGTACCGATGGAATGCCCGGCGTTATGGCCACCGGCAGCTCTCGCGCAGATCTGGGTCTGCGGGCACAGGATGTCGGTGAGCTTGCCTGCGAAGAGGTTAGCATCGACAGCCCACTATGCGGTTCGCGCGTGCCTGGAGGGGTCATTTCGGGACATGGCGATTCGAGACCCGGGGTTTTTGGGGCCTCGGTACCTTTGCCTTCGTCGCTAAAAATCGGGCAAAAAAACGTCAGCATCAGCCGTGGCTGCTTCGTGTCGCTGGATTGGAAACCAATTGGCAAAAACTCACCCCCATTGGGACCCGAGAATGATGGTAGCCATGGCGGAGAAGATGGGTCAATAGTCGCGCACGCGCAAAAGAAATGCCGCGAAAATATGG